TCGTTGTCTGTGGGAAGAAGACGACCCGTTTTTATAGGGCAATTCGTAGTTCAGTACAACGAATTGTAATTCGCAGTACTGTACTACGAAATGTCAATTAAAAAAATTTAGATTTTTTTTAAAACTGCGAAATGCCTTAACGGCGAAAAAATCCGTTAAGCCAATTCGCAGTATAAAACTGCGAAATACCCATTATTGTATCTTTTTTTTTTTTTAACATCAAAAATATATTTTATGTTCAAAAAATTATTAATTAAGTTTTAAACTCCCTAGGGGTCTAGTTGAAAAGGAAAGCCAACATCTCCATACATAATTTTGGATGATCCTCACCCCATGAGTAGCTTTTGAGGTTGAGTTAAGCTATCCGTGGTTGCTCTTGTTGAGCGGGTGGGGGAGGAAATTGTCAACATACGACCCTTGTTATCTACATTTTACTATTTGTAAGCCATTCAAAGACGATGAAAGAAGGATTCCATAGTAAGCTCCTAACAGGACTCAATGAAAGGATAATTTCCTCCTGCATTGATGTTGTTTTACATTTATAAGGCCAGAGAGGTGCCTAATGAATTTAATACGTATTACAAAACCGTGGGCAAAGGTAAATGTTTCTGGAGGCTAGTGGAGTATTTGGAAAATGGGACAGATAAATAACTGCTAGCAAAAACATCAGAAATAAAGAAAAAAAACCACCACTTGAACTGTATAATAGATATAATTTAGAAGAAAGAAAATGACTAGTCCGAACTTTGCAAGAGTCGATCTCCATAACTGGCCCTGAACCTTACACATTTGACCAACCCTGAGCATTATCGCACCAGACAGGCCGATAAGACCACACTGCCCAAATCAAAATGTTTGGTTCCCACAGCACAAGACTACAAGTTTCATTGCATGGGTTAAAATGTTAACATCTTCCTTAGGCACTGATAAAATGGATTCCAACTCCATCTCGTGCTGAGGCAATAGCAATGACCATGCAAATGCCAAGGTGGCTGGTGGTATTGTTTCCTGAAAATGCCTCAAAAGATTAATCATGCGTTTCGTGTTTCCTTCTGTAGCAAGATCCTCTCCGGCACATAGAACCTACAGAAGAAGCAACTTCCAATTACTGGATGGCTACAGAGATATAAAGGTTACTTCAATAAAAATGCCACAAATATCATGAGATAAACATCTTGGTAGATCAATAAACTATCTAAATGAAGTTTAGGTTGTAATCTCAAACTAACCTCTGCAAAAATGGAAACAACTTTTGGAAGGTACTCATAGTTGGGACCTAAAACTTCTCTGTCTGACCTGAAAGTGAGAAAATTTGGTAAACACATATTATAGTTTACAAGCACAATGTTGATAGATTTGAATTGCTAATTGAAACATAGATAAATCCCAGTAACAACCACCAACTAGATGATTTCTGTTGAGTCAAATCCCCATATCAGAGAAGTCAACAATTCATCTGTATTAAATGGTTTCACCGCCTAATGAAATTTTGTTATGCCAAATATATCAACACCGTTCCAGCTGCAATATCATTAACTTGTAAACTAGTTACAACAATATTAATATATTACTTCAAACGTTTGGAAGATGTGTTTTGTTTAGTTTTCCCTGAAGCTGAAATTACAAAGTTCATTTAGAATGTACATTGTTCCGTTAAAAACAATCACAATTTATCTACAGAAAACATTTCTAATCTTATGTTGCCATTTGTGATGTTCTCTTTTATGGTTTTAGAACAAAACTTAATGTAAAGAACCTGCTAAAAGCAAATATAATCGGTTTACCCCTGCAAACAGCCTTGATTATCAATGCCAAGGTAACAAAACCAATCCAGAGTAAATGAGTATAAAGACTAGAGCAAACCAATCCAGTTCCAATACCTTTCGACCATTGAACATAACTGTTCATGAACGTCTTTGGCTTCGTCCAAGTCAGCTTTTATAGGCAGGCAATTCAACCAAACTGGAATAACCTATCAAATGACTTGGAATAAGAATTATGGGGCAATTACAATCGCAGTAATGTTATTAGTCAAATTAAGTCACTTATAGAATAGTCCTCATTGGCTTAACCAAAACTCCTTTCGACTAAAACGGTAAAGCAAATAAATGAACAAGAAATGACTAATAGGAAACTCTTGTAAATCTCTATGTGTGTGTTTAATGTAACAGCCCAGCCCGCTAGTAATATTGTCCGCTCTGGGCCTAGGCCCTCACGGGTTTAAAATGCGTCCTCACTGAGGTTTGCCCCACCGAATGGGATTCGCCTAGACTCAGCACTGAGGTTTGCCCCGCCTAACCGGGATTTGCCTAAACTCAGTTGAACTCTGACCCACCATCGGTAAGGCTGACACAAGAGCGGCTCTGATACCATATGTAACAGCCCAGCCCGCTAGTGATATTATCCGCTCTGGGCCTAAGCCCTCACGGGTTTAAAACGCGTCACTAGGGTCTAAGGCTTGTTAACTTATATACCCAGTATTCCTCTTGTGTTTTGTCGATGTAGGATTGTCTAAAGTCTGGGGTGTTACATATTCTGTAACAGCCCAGCCCGCTAGTGATATTGTCCGCTCTGGGCCTAGGCCCTCACGGGTTTAAAACACGTCACTAGGGTCTAAGGCTTGTTAACTTATATACACAGCATCCCTCTTGTGTTTTGTCGATGTGAGACTCTGTCTAAAGTCGGGGGTGTTACAGTTAAAACATGGCGGAGTATATTCGCAGTCTTTGGGAATTGTGGGGATGATTCACTTGACTTACTGTCTTTTAGCTTTTAAATTCTATAACATAAATATTGAAAAACAATAAAGCGATCAAACATTGTGATATTTCTACTATATGATATATGCATGCAATGAATTACCCCAAATTTATAAATGAAATTTTGGAATGCCAACTCAAGTGTATATGAGCTAAAGGTGTAAGAATGCATAAACAAATAAAAGAACATACCTGGGCTAAGTCAATACTTTCACCATGAAACTGACATATCTTACTAAGTGCAAAAACAACATTATCATATGCTTTTTCATTCTCAGGTTCAAGAGCATTCATATGCATTATCACTACTTTGATCCTTGACAGAGCCTCTGGTTCGGGTCATAAGATTTAATTAAACACAAAAAACATATAACTTTTTGTCCCCTTCTCCATGTAGAAAATGGTCTAAGTATCACATTCAACAATAACATACCTGCAACAAAAGGTTTGAAAGAAGAACGACCATATTCCGCCCACAGCCCAAGTCCATAAAAAGCAGCCTGAACATGACATATGGTTCTCCAACAAATCAAATAGTAAATGCAACTTAACTGAAAACTGTTACAACTGCTAAGATGTACAAACCTGTCTAACAGCTGGATTTTCATCATTGCTTGCGTCAAAAATTAATGGAAGACAAACATCATAGTACCTAATTGTCACAGGAAGTAACTATCAAAATTGAGAATTAACATTAGAGAAAAAACCATACAAATCGACCTACTTTAGAGCTGCTTCAGGGCACACCTCCACAAGAGCATCAAAGATACAAATAGATGTACATCTCTCATTAGTTGTTGTCTCCTTGGCCTTCAAAAGCAAGAAAAATTCAATGTGGAAAACAATAATATATATAATAAAAACAATCTAGAGGATTTAGAGGTTATGACTTACCCACATAGGTAACAAATATGGTGACAACTCCTCAAGGAAAGGCAAGAAAGCAGCCTTGAAAGCTTTGATCAATGTTATCAATATTTCACCAACCTAATAAAAAGTTAGATCGATTTAAAAATGATGGTAGATTCAAAGTGAAATGCTTGTAAACGGAAAACACAGCTTCTGTCTGAACTCCATTCTTATATAGAACATACATTCTCGAAAACTTCTTCTTCTTGCTCTCTTTCCCCCCTTAACAATTCTGCTTCCTCAGCATCAACGTCTTCCGGTCTATTTCTCTCTGTGAGTGCTTGTTTTCTACTTGAACTTTCTGTAATTGCATGCTTTATCTCATTAACGATGCTACGAACCTGACCTTCAGTGGGAAGTGGTCTACAAATCTGAAAGAAGATACAAAAGGACCATAATAACAGAAATTTTTCTTTGCAATTCTAACTTGTTTCATTCACTGTTGTTCTGCCTTGCTTTGATAATACTAATGAAACATTCTAAATAATAGCCATAGGCTATTTGTAAGACTTTCTAGTGTTACCTTGTCATGTCAAGAGAACATTATGATTACCACATCTGTGAAAAATTTGATTCCACACATCCACTTTTAAGCATTTTAATATGGTATAAATTATGCTTGTATCCACACAAGTAAGAATTAAATAAGGAGCTCCTACTTGGCTTGATCCCCTGGACATATTAGCGTGCAAGTCATTGCTCTTTGTACCCATGTTTTCCTTTGTATAAGAGATGTACTAAGCTTTCTTTTTTATTAGAATAAAACTGATTTGGACGACTGTCTTGTTTGGATCTCTAGTGAAGGAAAAGAAATAGGGTCATATATCAAGAGTGCCCATAAAATTAAAATTGGTTGTTTTTACTGTTTTGGGAATGTAAAGGCCAACATGTTGATCATACTGGATTATATAGAGTAAAAGAAACATATCGGTTATACGAGAACACTGCAAACTTGGATCAAGAATTAAAGAAAACCCTGGCTTAAAACATAACCAACCTGCAGGCAATAATTCAATTCTCCCAACATGATTGCACAGATTTCTGTCACATGTTCCTGTTGAGATAACACATCAGGTATCACTTTCTCATTATCCAAAAAGAAGGAACAACATAAGTACAGATGTTAAGGACAACCTTATGCATAGCCTCTACCAAAGACAGTATTATATAGTCTGACAACTTCGCGAAATATGACTCACTTTCACCTTGAGCAATCCCTTTCTCAAAAGCCAGTTTAGCAGAACGCAACAGGATGGGCATTGCTTAAACAGCAAAAATAAGAAAATTGCATCAGCAACTGGACAATTTACATGAAAAACAAAGAAACCATATGAAAATGAGAACTCTACCTACAACAGCAGATCTCCTGAGAGGATTGTGGATATAGCATTTCAGAAGCGGAACAAAGATTGAAACAACCTGATTCATGCATGAAGTCATTGATATCCCTTGTTCAATTTGACCTCACTTAACAGCACATGAGGACAAGAAAACATGAAGGTGATCGATCATTCAAGCCAACCTGGGAAATCCATGGGTAGAAGTCTTCCTGCAATATATCACTGTACCAGCATAGCATATCACAGGCTACAACTTTCTCCTCTGGGACATCTCCTTTCTTGAACGTCGTTTTATCTCCAAGCTTGATTTTCTCTATACTGCAAGATGTAAAGCTTAAGTAAGATCCTAGGTACACCCTGTCCCTGATAACCACCTCTCCCCAATAGGCTTCACCTTTTTGATGAATCCAAAACAAGAATTAGACATCAATCATAGTTGTTAGATTCCCACATCGGTAGTGGATGGGGGACTCGGTTTCATGATTTTGCACAATCCTCACCTCATGAGCTAATTTTTTGGTTGAATTAGGCTCAAAGTCCATTTCTTACATAGTATCAAAGCAAAATCCATTTAAATTCTTGGTTTACCCTATTTGGGACCCCACATTATATTGTCATCAATTGACAGGCCTAAGCGTGCGGGGTGTGTTAGATTCCCACATTGGTAGTGGATGGGAGACTTGATCTCCTTGTATTGTTTTAGATAATCTTCACCTCATGAGCTAGCTTTTGAGATTGAGTTAGACTTAAGGTCCATTTCTTAACAGTATCAAAAGCTTCGCCGAGATGGTCAAATCTCAATGATAAAAGTTTACCTATTATCATCTGACTCATAATTTTCATAGTCCAAAAATCTCAATGATAAAAGCTTACCTATTATCATTTAACTCATAATATTCATAATCCAACTTCGCAGATATGGTCATAACAGGTTCAAGTTCAGCACATTTAATTAAAAATGGCATGATTGCACTCATATAAGGAAGAAAATCCCGTCCCATGCACTTGCAAATTCTAGTACAGGCCTGCAACGAAATAAAGAAAATAAAGGGGGGCGAATCTATAAAGAACTATTGATATTAAAATCAAGTGATTAACACATACGCCTAGCATGTATTTAGTAGTAGGATCATCCACCTTCGCTTGTAATCCTTGTAATGACATAAGCACTTCCATGACCTTTAATGAAAACAACAAAAGGGAAACAAATAAAAGTAAGCTCTTTGTTGAGAATTGGCCAAAAGCAAATAAGCTCACGCTAGCGCATGCCAAGACAAGAAGAGAATGCCAAGAGAGGCGGAAAGGAGGGAGACCAAAATGGAAATGGTAAGAATAAGGATATTCCTGTCATTATTTTGTTGTTGAAAGACGTAGTAACTCGAGCAAGAGATATACTATGGTTTGACTACAGTAAAGCCATCTGACATAGCATAACAAATGAAACAGGAAAGAAGCAATCCCAATCAATGGGATTATTATGTGTTCAGCACTCCATCAGTATGGAACTAAAAAAGATGTGTACTGGAGCCACTGGGTATAATTGGAAGAAGAGACCTGCTCTACATCATCTTTGAATTTCTCCATGCCAACAGCCATCCCAACAACACTTATGCACTCCATTGCTCTGGCACGAAGAATGAGATTAGAATTAAGATGTGCGTTTCTCAGGACAGTTCTCAAGTGTGGCATAACAGTGTCATAGTTTGTTCGGAAGTGCTCCTGTTGACATATAATATAATATTTGCCTTCATTATTCATAAATATGTAGAAATAGTACTGAGCCAAAAATTAATACACCAGTTAATACCTTAACAGATTGAGCAATAGAAGAGAATGCAGTTAATGCTTGTTCTTGGACCATTTGTTTGTTATGCTGCATTTCAAGCAACAAAAAGCATAAAAAGGCATCATTAGTCTCTTGTCAGCACTCAGCAGTGACATACTTAGTAATTTGGTGACCTCTATATTTGCACACCTGTAGAAGTACAAGCAGTTTGTTAACTATCCCATCTAGGTAAGGTATCAAAGTTTCTGGCTCGTCAGGCACACAGAAGTTGCAGAGAGCTGCCGTGGCAAATGCCTATGAAAATGCGAAAGAGTAAAGGAAGCAAATTAGCTGGTAACAACAACTGAATGGAGGAATGTCGCATCTACCAAATCTTTAGGCTTATGGTTTTTTCAAAAACTTATTCAAGACTACATTTTAGATACCTCGTGTGACATTATTACAATCAGTCAACGATCTTGTAAGTCAGCAAGAGAGCTCGTATTGCAACCAAAAAAGTCATAAAACAAAAAATTCCCAGAAACACAATACTGAATCCAGTAAGTTAGATAGAATCATGATACTAACTGTTACAGAACTTTTGAAAATCATCCATGTAAAGGTCTTCAACTATATGGTATATGCATCCCCCTTGTAAATGTGCAGTAAGAATAAAAACTTTTGCTGGTAGTTTCATGCATCAATGATAATTTAATCTTCTATGTTAGCCTGCAATTATTCATAGGGTTAGCAGCATTAGTAAACGTTACATTGGTCAGACCTGCACTCGAGGATTTTGAAAATCATCCATGGCTGCAGCTAATGCAAGGAATATTTGGTTATGGTATTGTTCTTGCACAAGCGGAGAGAAGTCAATCAACAACTGAGAAATTGCCCAGCAAGCAGCCCATCTGACTCGAGGATGAGGATCTTGGAAACAGTTTAAAACCATATTCATCATTTGCTCCAGATTCTTAATCATCACCTGTAATAGTAAAGAAGCTATGATTCCAAGGTAATCGCCTAAGAGAAAAAGTCAAAGAGATAACTTTAAACAATAAAGCATAGAGTATAAAGCATTCTGGCAGAGTTGTGGACAAACTATCTTGTAAATTTAAGCAGTTGGCCAGCAGAAAACACCGCCTAAATACAATGAGTTGAAATAATATGCCTTATAATCAAACCATAGCCATAACTAATACACACTAAGACAATTCTTGTACCTCTGAGAAACCTTCAGCTATCTGAGCAAGTGCAATGAGAGCTGCATGGCGCTTCTCCCACTCTGGGGCAGCCAAGTAAGCACACAACTGCTCTATTGCAATATGAGTAGTAAACTCACCTTGTAATGCAAGAGAAAACTGGTGCAAACCCTCCTCGCCAATTTTGTGGTCACAGATCAATATCCCTGCATAATCATGCACGTTCTCGCCACTATTCCAAGCAGGGTCATCTTTACTATCTAGTAATAACTTTAATAACATTGCAAAATATCTGCTAATAAACAAAGGCAATCTCTTCAGCATGCCTGCGGCCTTCTCCTTCGCCTCGATCAAAGTTATAAAGAATAGAACCGCAAAGTGCCTCGCTCTTTGATCTAAACTCTCAGATTCTGCTATCTCAAACATGATATCCACCACATCCACTAGCTGCCTCCTGAAGAACCTAGGCTCATTCTTCGCCAACTTAATAAAAACTTTCAGAGGTTCATGTGCTGCAACCTTCTCCTCATTGTTGCTCAATGCATTAGTCAACGTCCCCATCATACCTGGCAATAAATCCTGAAACAACTCCTTTTCATTTGAACTCAATACGCACTTAATGAAGTTGAACACAGCACTCATGGCCTCGATCCTCACATCTACATCGAGGGTATCGTCATTCAGTGTATTTAAGAATAGTGAGTGCATATCTTTTACGCAAGGGACAATTGTTTCACCTATGTCCTTGGCTAGTTGCCGAAATAATATGAAAGCTGACCTCTTTAAGTAGTTGTTTGAAGTGGAAGTGAGGCACTGGTACAAGAACGGCAATAATTCCGGCCAGTTGTTATCTGGAAGAAGTGAAGCAGCCAGCTTCGAAACAGTGTCACGGAGCTCTTGGATGATGAATCTTGATTCTTCGCTCTTGATTCGACTAAGGAGGATTGATTTGATGGTGGATTGAGTTGACACACTTAGATTGCTCCAAGTGCACAAGTCATCCTCATCAGTAAGCAACTGTTTTAAGAGGACAGTACACTTTTCACGGGAGTAAATGTCATAGGAAGAGCCAAGAGCAAGCTTAAGAGCAAAGGAGTTAGGATCCTTGTGCTTCATCATGTTGAACATTGACTTAGCCTCAGAAACTGTTTCCTCGGAGCTTTCCATGTGATTGGAAATGAAGGTTTCAAATGGCTCCAATTCGGGCCCCAAAATGGCCTCCATCTGGACCTTATGGAACTGAGTCAACACAATATCCATGATAGTATTTTGAGAGAGAGACTAGGAAGAGTATGGAGCTGTGACAATGTGATTTATCTGACAGTTTAAATGAAAATATATAGAAGATCGTTTCCCACCAATACCTAATGATTTATGAAAGGGAGAAAACTATAGGCACCTCATTCAAGATCATATATACTATGGTCAATTCAGCTTGTTTTTTAAAAATTATAAAGGCACGTAAGCAGAGCTCTTACTTAGCTTGAGGTGATCCCAAGCACTCTCTGATATTTAAAATTAGGCAAATCGCAAAAAGTATATGATAAACACGCAACATCCCTTCGGCAGAAAGAAAGTCCAACCCATGCTCCACCTCACAGAGGCGGATATAGCGTTCCACATACCATAACTTTCGAAAATTTATTTAAATTGCAAAAATAGCAGATATGAACTCATAACTTTAAAAATATAATGTGTTCAATATTAAAAAACCTTAAAAGTTGAACCGCCTCTGCCACCTCACTGCTGTCGACACCATTGTTGGAGGTCAAATGTGCTTAGGCAATGTTTACCCACTGTAACTGACTGTCACGTCCAACAAGAGCGCGAGCATCCTCTCAACTGGCTCTTTCCAATATTGCCTAAATCAATGGGCTCAAAGTACTTGTCAACTTTTTGTTAAACATTTTCTTTCCCCTACGACTGTGTAGCGCTCCTTAAGGTCTTTCCACATCTGACTATTAACTTTATATTTTAATAGGGTCTTCGACAGAATTAAACAACATATGGCTAAATTATTAACTTGCGACGCTTGATATTCGGCTCCAGTTTCAAACACTGGTTTTGGGGTAATCTCCATTAATAAAACCAAATTTCCCTTTTTGCTTCAAGACCATTGATAGCTGCTTTTACCCAGATATCATAGTTCTCACTTGTCAAAGTATATTTGGTGATCGACTATCAGCGCAACTCATAGTAAATTCACGATGGGTCGTGTTGAATTAGGGGCTTGGACGATGAACTTTCACTTCCTCCCAATATATATAGAGTTGTGTACAACTAGCAAGTCTCTTGCATCTTACTCTCTATGGTACAAAATATATATGTGAATACCTACCAATAATACAAAATATAATTTTCATATTTTTCTATTTATAATCATTCCTAGTTAGGGGTGTCAATTTGAGCCCAAACTCATTTGACTCACTGCGACACCCTAGGCACCATATCAACAAAAAAATACGGGAGAGATGCTGGGTATATAAGTAAACATGAGCCAATCTCAAGCTACTATGCCACATCATGTACAAGAACACGGAGTTTAGTACACTCCATCACCAGTGCGAACTGTTGTACGAATAAGGAGGTATCCTTGTAAGAGTTACTGAAATTGAAATCACCAAAGTTCACAGGTTCCGATAATTCAGCAAATCCTCAAAGTTTCTTGGATGGGACACTCAAGGCATTACGTGCTCTTGGATGTTCTAGTGAGAGAGTCATGGAGCTCGCAGCATACAAACTAGAGGATATGGCCAATACATGGCTTGAAATTGTGTTGCAAGGAAGGCCAGCAGGAGCAGCACCACTAACATGGGACGAGTTCAGTAAGTTGTCCATGGATCATTTTCCTCCGGACAGCCTGAGGTAAAAATATGCTAGAGACTTTGAGAGATTGGTTCGGACTCCAGATATTGATGGGTAAACTTATAATACCAAGTTTTGTAATATAGCTAGATATGCTCCTTACTTAGTGTCTACCCAAGAAGCTAGAGGTCAGAGGTTTGTTAATGGGTTGGTTGGTCGTCTATACACTGCAGTAGCCCCACAGATGAAGACTTTATCCTACTCTGATGCAGTCGATCTCGCTAGAAATATTGAAAACAAGGGACATGATGAGCATACAACTATTTATTTACGTAAGAAGGCCAAGATAGGAGGGTCTTTCAGTGGCGGTTTTAGTGAAAATCGCATAGCAGGAAATCAGGGACAACACCAACAGGGTTCTCAGACAGGGACACACTTGTCTTCACAATCCACATATAGACCACATTACAGACTGGGTATGTCACGACCCAAAATTCACTACAAGTCGTGGTGGTGCCTAACGTCACCGTCAGGCAAGCCAACAGTGATTGGTCCACTTAATTACTTATTTTTATTACTTTGAAATCAAAATTCCCATTTATTAAATAGTATAAAAGCTGGTACTCGTAGAAAACCCGTGATTTTATTTTCCAATTCATGTATAAAAATAAAAATTTCAAGGTGAAATGATAATAATTACGTGAACTATAATAATGAACAACCAGTAGGAACCCCCAAAATCTGGTGTCACAAGTGTATGAGCATCTACTAAGGAACACAATAATAATACAACATCCATCTGGAATACAAGTTAGACAGGAGAATATAAATAACTCTGATGGAGACTCTGTATACTGCGGATCGTAACATGGAATGCAGCTCACGGTAAAGTCCCCACAATAACCGCGCCTCTGCGCCTAGAGGACAACCATAAACATATCTATCTATCTATCTATCTATCTATCTATCTATATATATATATATATATATATATATATATATATATATATATATATATATATATATATATATACACACACCTGCACAATAAGTGCAGCAAGTGTAACATGATTACGTAAATCAACGCGTACCCAGTAAGTATCTAGCCTAACTCCGGAGAAGTAGTAATGAGGGATCGATATCGACACTTACTAGTGGTCTAATAAATCAAATACAATAGGAAGTAAACAGATGTGAGACAGAGTAAATAAACGAAATAAATAAGTATAAATACGTGGTACAATCCTCCCCTCAACAATAAACTCAAGCTCTCAGTTAGTAGTTACCTCCTCAACCGGAGCATATATATAATGGACCTCACTAGATAGTTCTTCACAGTTCAAATCAGGAAAACTAACAATACTAGCTTCTTGTCAAATATTACGCACGATTCCATAAGAGTATTTTATAGAAATATCGAGGCGTACGACCTGATCCCATCATAATGTGTGCACTACCGAGGGTCGAACGGCACGAACCATAGATACATCTATTATACTGCCAAGGCAAACGGCCCGCTCCCATGAGAGTGTGGTACAAAATCCTGTCGAGGCGAACGACTCTATCCCATCATAATGTGTGCACTGCCGAGGGTCGAACGACACAAACCATAGATGCATCTATTATACGGCCGAGGTAAATGGCCCGATCCTATTAGAATAAGAAGCTTTAACGGGTCCTTGATCTCACTCACAAATAAACGTGTGAGTTATGAACTTTAAGGAAGCTTTTCGATGAAAACGCACAATGCGGGAGAAATTCATAAGGGGAGCACGTTATTATGTGGCTAATCATGAAGCTCGTCAAATCTCTACAATAGCAAGTCTATCACTCTACACAAGTCTAGTCTCAAGTCGTAATGCGAAGTAACGGAATTAGACGAGCAAAGATAACCCAAATAGTATAATTATAGCATGGCATAACCTAAGTCTACCTGAACATAACATGAATCTAGTTACGTATGGACTCTCGTCACCTCGTGCGTACGTAGCCCCCACAACAAATAGCAAATATCAAATACATCACCTAGGGTAGTTTCCCCTCACAGGGTTAGGCAAGAGACTTACCTCGCTCTGAAGTTCCATAACCGGCTCCTACACCACTCTAACACCTCAAACTGATGCCCGTCACTCCAAAACTAGTCAAACAATATGCAAACCAATAAAAATATACTCTAATACTCATAATAAATCAATTCATAATAATTTCCAACTCCGCTCGAAAAGTTAATAAATCGACCCTCGGGCCCACGTGCCCGGATTCCAAATTTTTTTGAAGATAAACATTACCCATAATATTACGAGCTCAAATATATAATTTATTCCCAATTTGATGTCCAATTTCATGGTCAAATTCTAGGTTTTTCACCAAAAGCCAAAATTTCTACAAATTTTCATGTTTAAATCCATGTATAATTCATATATTTAACTCACAATGTGAAGAAATCACTTACCTAGTGATGGGTGGCAAAGAAGCTCCTTCAAACTCGCCCCAAGCTCGGCTCCCATGGAAGGTTTGAGATAAAATGAGCCAAAACCCATTTTGCAAACTTATACACCACTTAGGAGACCTATTTTGCAATCGCGGAAAATGCCTCGCGATCATCAAGGCCAAAAATGCCACTTCCCCAAAACCTTCTTCGCATTCGCGTCCATGATATCGCGTTCGCGTAGGCCAAAGGCCTTCTACCCCGTTTCCTCCAATTCCTCATCGCGTTCGCAGTTGGGCCCCCATGTTCGCGAAGCACTGCCAGGCTTACCTGCGGATTCACAAGCCCCTCTTCGCATTCGCGTAGGGCAATCAGCTACCCCATCAAATTTCCCTCTTCACGGTTGGGGGACAATCTTCGTGATCGCAAAACACACCAGTACACCGGCATACCAGCAGCAACAAATCAGCCAGACTTGGTCCGAAATCACCCCGAAACACACCAAGGGCCCCCGGGGCCCCCGGTACCCCGTCCAATCACACCAATCAGTCCCAAAACATGACGCGAACCTGGTCGAGGGATCAAATCACACCAAACAACATCAAAACTACGAATCGACAATCGAAATCCTTCTTTAAACTTTCAAACTTCCAAACTTCGACAAATGCGTTCGAATCATATCAAAACATTCCGGAATGACGCCAAACATTGAGTATATGTCACAAATCATGATATGAACCTATTCCAAGACTCGGAACCGCAAACGGACATCGAAACACCAAAGTCCACTTCAAACAAACATAAGAAATTCTTAAACTTTCAAAATGCCAACTTTCTACAATAAGCGCCAAAATGCTCCCGGACCACCCGATACTCAACTCAAACATACGCCCAAGTCCGAAATTATAGCACGAACCTATTGGAACCTTCAAATTTCGATTCCGAGGTCGTTTACTCAAAAGTCAAACCTTAGTCAACTCTTCCAACTTAAAGCTTTCGAAATTAGAATTTTCCATCCGAATCATCTCTGAACTTTCCAAAATTCAATTCCGGCCACACGTACAAGTCATAAATTATAAAGTGTAGCTACTCAAACCACTGAACGATACGCTAGAGCTCAAAACGACCGGTCGGGTCATTACAAGATACTAGGGGACCATCATCATCTGGACATCGTAATTCTGGGCAGATTTATGCTACCACTCCAGTATGTCATACCTGTGGTAGGTCGCATTTGGGCCACTGTCGTGTTCTGACTGGAGTGTGCTTTCTGTGTGGCCAGTTAGGACATCGCTTGAGGGATTTCCCTCATCCTTCGAGGAATTTCAATCACGGTTCTATTTAGTTAGTTGTACCTACTCAGACTACTCGTAATACTTCAGGTGGTGCAGGTGCTGGAAATAGAGGTCGATGTGCTAGAGATCGTGCTACTATGAATCAAGGACAAGGGAATGCTGGTAGAGGTCAGGTGAGAGTTTTTGCATTTACTAGACAGGATGCTTAGGCCTCAAATGATGTGGTTATAGGTATTATCTCGGTCTATTCATTTGATGCACTTGGGTTGATTGATCCAGGATCTACTCACTCCTATGTGTCCTCATACTTTGCTTTGAGGTTTAGTAGACAACCTGAGATATTGAATTATCCTTTTCTAGTTGCTACTCTTGTTGGAGAGTCTCTATTAGCTGAATACGTGTACTGTGCTTGTCAGATTCGGGTTGAGGGTAGAGATACTCTAGCTGACCTTATTGTACTTGATATGATTGACTTTGACATGCTGAAGGGAATGGATTGGTTATCTTCTTTCTATGCTCTCATCAATTGTCATACAAAGATAATTAAGTTTGAGATACCAAATGAACCCAGTTTTGTTTTAAAAGGGGCTTAAGTTCCAGAGATTTGCAAAGTTGTATCTTTTATGAAGGCTCAACGACTTCTGTAGAAAGGTTGCTTGGGTCTCTTAGCTATTGTAAATGACACAAGAAAGGAAACAATTAGTATAGAAAATGTACCAGTAGTGAGAGAATTTTTTGATGTATTTCTTGAGGAATTACCAGGATTGCCTCTGGTACGAGAAATAGATTTTGGTATTGATTTGCCACCTGACACACATACCATATCGATTAACCCATATTGGTTGGAACCAGTAGAGTTGAGCGAGCTAAAGAAACAGTTGCACGATTTGTTAAATAAGGGTTTCATCAGACCTAGTGTTCGCCATGAGGTGCACCAGCATTGTTCGTAAAGAAGAAATACAGATCTATGAGAATATGCATTAACTGCAGGCACTTGAACAAGATAACAATACGCAATAAATATACTTTGCCTCGTATAGACAATATGTTTGATCAGTTACAAGGAGCTACCCACTTTCCAAAGATTGACGTGCGGTTTGGTTATCATTAGCTTAGAATCAAAGATGAAGATATTTCTAAGACTACTTTCAGAACTCGGTACGGGCACTATGAGTTTCTTGTGATGCCTTTCGGACTGACTAATGCTCCAGCTGCATTCATGATTTAATGAATAGGGTGTTCAAGCCGTTTTTGGACAGATTTGTAATAGTATTTATTGATGATATCCTGATATATTCTCGTAGCCAAGGAGAGCACGAGAATCATCTGAGGACTATGTTGCAGACATTGCGAGAGCATTGGCTTTATGCTAAGTTCTCAAAGTGTGAATTTTGGCTAGACTCAGTAGCATTTCTAGGGCATGTTGTATCCAAGGATGGAATTATGGTGGATCCCAAAAAGACAGAAGATGTACAAAAATGGCCCAGACCTAATTTTTCTACAAAGATTCGTAACTTTTTAGGCTTGGCAGACAATTATAGGCATGCGCAGGATTTCTCCAGAATAGCAGCGCCACTGACCAAGCTAACACAGAAAAATACAAAGTCTCAATGGATAGAGGAAAGTGAGAAGAGCTTTCAAAAACTCAAAACATGTTTGACAATTGCGTGACGAGCGCAAAACACACACTTAAATATGCTCGCTAGTCGAATATAGTTTAATATAATATCGTATCCACAGGGATTGGATTTAAATAGTGTTTTCGTAGTTTCTAGTTTAATATCCAAGATGATCAACAGTTGAGATTTAGGTGTTTAAAATTATAATTAACTAAGGATCTAAAGCTATTGACTAGTGACAATCGATGCAAGTAATGCGCAAATAAGGTTATCAATTGGGAGAAAATAGGGTTTTGATAGGATATGTGCAAGACAATTGTTTGGGGTTTAATTCTAGGTAATCCACTTCTAATGTTCAAGTGATTCTCTCGAATTCACTCAATTATTAGTTCACCGTTTAGTAGAAACTCCTCTCTCGATTAAGTCTCAACCTCTTAAGATGAACCAATTTAAGCTCGGTGAAGATATGCAAAAATTCATAGTGGATTGGTCTTAAGGAAAACCTCTCTCGAATATCCTCCTAGATGGGTTTAATCAACAATTCAACTAGCCTCTTCCGATTACTAAGAATAATTAATGAATTCAACCAACGAGATAGAATGCAAAAATTTCAAAAGTTATGCCTTTCTCGATTACATGAACAAGTGAATATAGATGCAACGATTAAAACATCCAAAATGATTCAATACATAAAACTAGAGTTAATAACCCACAAACAAATATCAATATACCTAATCCATCAAACCCTAAAGAGAACTACTCCATAGATATGGAGTAATTCATCACGAATATGTTTAAGTTAAAGGAAAACATAAAACGATCCAAACTCTTGTCTTGAGTGAGGATTGAATGATGAAATCCTTGTGCTTTTGCTTCTCCAACTCCTCCTTCGCTTCCTTAGGTCTAATATGTGTCAAAAGTCCCAAAATAATATTTTTACATGTATTTATACTAAGTAGGGTCGGGCCCTAACGAAACCACCTTTCTTAGACGAAATTGGGGTGTTACTATGTAAGAATATGCATAGGCGCGCCGCATGGGGCGACTCGCCACACGGGTCAGAAGTGGGGTTTATCAGGAAGCATGTAGTTTCAGGGAAGCAGGCAAAATGCACAGCCGCAGTGCTCCACGCACCGCTATTGTGGGTTTCTCTCAGAGCTTGCCTTTTTGCTTGATTTTTGAAGTTCAGGCGTGGTTCTCGACCCCCGAACGCGATCCCGGCTTAATTCCTTGGGCTTTTACTCAGACATCAAAGCTCCAAATAGCTCGAATTAGATCCATAACATCTACATAGATCGGAATCACACCTACAAGGCATAAAATGCACAATTAGTGCAAAATACTAACAACTAAAGCTCGAACTCTATAAATGTGTAGTAAATTAGAGTGCAATAAGCAACTAAAATACAAGATTATAGCCTACTATCAACACCCAACACTTAAACCATTGCTCTTCCTCGAGCAATAAAACTACACTTTATATAGACACGATCTTTTTAAACAACTCTCATAACTCATTTTGCCAAGAATATTTAAAATAGACTAAGCACAATAGTGTAACATCTTCACCTCAAGATTTGACTCACAAGTACCACTCATTATTCACAACTCACTCACTTACTCTAACTTAGAGGTCAAGCATTATCTTTCCTTCATGAATCAAGTGCCCTCACACAACAAAAGAGAGTAGTCCACACACAATAAAGTTTAATAACAATTAGGAACTTAAGTGAGAAAGAATTCACTCACTCTTAGAAACAATATTCATATGCCACAAAAGATGAACCATAGGCTTGCCCGTAGTGTACTACTTTACTAATTGAGCTCATTCAGTCAAGGATCAAGTAGGACTTTAATTGGTTGTAATGTAGGCTGCGGGACGGGTAGGATACATTTAGATATAAGAGTGACTACATCTCCCTAAGAACTTTAATACATATACTTTAACATTCAAAACCCCACACTTTTGTCAAACCATAACTCCACCTTCACAACAATATACATTAACTCCATACTTCTTTAAGCACAATTACATCAACAGTTACCACTTATCAATGAATATTTGCACAACAATACAACATTTTTTCTTCTTTTCTTTTTCAATTTTAGTGGCTCTTACTTCTTCAAAACATTGCACCTTTCTCCTATTTCATTAGTTCCACTCAAAAGCCAAACCAACCACCCCACACTTTAATTTTTACAAAGTTTATAACAAATAAGTGCTCATGAGAGGTGAAAGGGTTCAAATAGATGGTCAATTCAAATAAATGGGTAAGGCTTGTAATGTGGTGCCAAAGAAACAGGATTACATGCTCAAAATGGTTAACTACGATACATAACCATCAGATGGGTAAAACATATATATCTGGATCAACAAAAAAATGCCTATATCACTTTCAAGACTGAACAAAACTACTATTTCGCTTTGCAAACACAGGGGGCAAGTTTTAGACATCAAATGCAACGCACGGAATAACACAAAACTCACACACACAAGGCACATAACTCACTCAGGATTGGACTCATCAAGACACTCTAGTCAAAGCAGTTAAGCAAAGTTAAGATCATACAATTTAAGGCACTTATACAAGAATCAAAAACTGAGCCTAAGCATCACAACTAAAGCACTCACTATTCTCTAAGCATAACCAAGTCACGAGATATTGCTTCAATTTCAATTCATAGCACAAGGTTTCCTACTTCTAACAAAAATAAAAGCTAACTGCACACGGTTCAAACAAAACCCTTGGAAAGAACCACGACACAAAGAAAAACCAAGGGGTAATTGTTACACTACCCACAAAAGAAAATCTTTTTGTCCTTTTCATTTGACTTTAATCCTTCAAAAGACCTGTCGGTATGAAAATATTAAAAAATTTATATATTTTTTTTCAATTTTTTTCTATCTCTAACTACTCAGACTAACAAAAACAAATTAAAAACTAATATACATACAACATACAACTTGTCACGCCCCGAACCTGAGGGGGCGAGATCGGCACCCGGTGCCTCACTTAACCTAACCTACAAACGTGCGACTGAAATATTCTGAACATACAATGTCATACTTTGGCAATGGGTTCACTTTGCAAAGCAAAATATATAACTGAACGGAAACTAGATTTGACTAAACATCAATATAAAGCTGGGCCGACAAGGCCGTCATAACTACTACAGCTGACAAACCAACAAAATATACATACACGGCCTACAAGCCCAACATACTCCACTAACAGATAGGATATGTCTACAAGCCTCTACTGATGGATGTACAGTGATCGGAACAGGGCCCGGACCTACCCATAACATATATACACAATATCTACACAAACCCTAGAACCAGCAACTTAGAAGGACGTGGAGCTTATCAATCAAGCTGAACTCGGGCAACACCTACTGAGGAGGTCTACCCGTCTGTCTATCTGAACCTATACGCATGAAATGCAGCATCCCCAAAAAAGAGATGTTAGTACGAAATAATGTACCAAGTATGTAAGGCAGTAAAATAATTGAAAGCTAAAACTGAACTATTAGGCTCGCTCATAGGCACTCGGTACATGTAACTGCTCGGCCGTAGTAGGCTCGCTCATAGGCACTCGGCCATACTAGGCTAGGTATCTCGGCCATTCTGGGCTCGCTCATAGGCGCTTGACCATAGTAGGCTCGCTATATAAATTACCATCTGATCAGAGGTTGCGCAATAGGGGTCTGCCCACCGTTTATAGCTCGATGGTGGTGAAAATACTGTAATACTATATATATATATATAGACCCTCTACCCTTTTAACTGAAAGAAGATAATACCTAACTGAATAGAAAGTCCCAATAAGGGAGAATACTGTAACTTTTGAGACTAGGATAATGTGAATAAATTCAGGAATACGAACTTCTCTTTATATGTCGTTATCAAACACATGTAGTTACGAGATCATGCCAAAATGAAGAAAGGTTTAGCCTTAACATACCTTATCACAATCTTTCCAATCACCAAGTCGAACTCGCCTCTTTGCATCTTAATCTACAACAATGATAATAATACTATCATTAAGTTACGAAATGTATGACTATCGCAAAACGAACGACAAGCTTATTTTGTATTAAAACGGGCATCATCTCCCCTATAATCCTTACTTCTTCAAAATTCAAGATAACTCCAAAAACAAAAGAACACAACAATAACAACATATATGCATTATTTTCCAACCTTATATACACCACAAAATACTACAAACAACCCAACACACCCCAATCTCTTCATACACAAAACGACCACCGTAGTAGTGTCAAACAACCTGAAAATGTTACGACGAACAAACAGCCCACCACCCTGCATTTATCTTGTGTTTCACCACACCGTTCCTCCTCTAAAACTCGATACAGTAGTAAAACACGCAATTCAACAGCAACACAAAACAATTCTCTACAAGTGAATAACTCGAACTCACGGCTTCCGATCACCGTCCCGTGAGTTTTTACAATTATAGAACGACTTTCCATACATATCCAGCAGAAAAAATGGATGAAAGAGAGCAGTAAACGTACCTTATTTGTTGAATAACTCAACTCCTATCTTGGTTCTTCAAGCTCTAGGTTTTACCTCCAACTAGAACTTGAAAAGGAGAGAAAATCAATTAGGGTTTGTGAGAAATTTTTGGGAGGATGTTTACAGGGATTTAGGTATGGTTATTGTGCCCTCTTGTTAGTGTATCATATGGACGAAATAGGCCTTTAAAAGGTCTCTTTGGACGACCTGAACTGGCCCATTTTTGGACTCTCATTTAAGCAAGTAGGTGACACACCTACTTGTCACCTAGCAGTCTGCGCAGTTTCGCGAAAACGCATATACCTCTCTACTCCGATGTCATATTGACAAATGGTTTATTGTTTTAGAAAGTAGACTCGTAGATCTTTAATTTGATGGGTTGAAAACCCCATAAATCTACATATATTGGGTGAATTTGGAGTTACATTTGACCCGAAAACACTTATGAACGTAACTTATGATGACTTTCATCGACTTTTGTTCCACAACTCGCTCGACTTCAAAACATA